GAGAATATTAAAACACTGCATAGTTTCAAATATTGCCATTTTATCTCTCTCATTTACTACTATTTAGTATCAGCGATACTGAACTGGCAGAACAGTGACATCAACAGAAGACTGAAATTCTAAAGAATTACTAATTCAAGGTGCAGTTGTACACATTTACAGACTGAGATTCCCTATAAATTTAAAACAGCCATATGTTAAAAAATATTCTAGGAAAAAAACATTATTTTCTGGTTTTTTACATAAAATACATTAAACCAGTTAAGATTTACTGAAAATTGCTATTAAACATCCATTTGGGAAGAAGCTAATTAAAGAAGGTACTATACAGACATACTTCTCAAGCTGGAAGCTAGTATCTGTCTTGGCCATAGAGAAGCTACTCAAGAATCCTAAAAAAAGTAGCAACAGTTTGAGAAAGCTTGAGTGGAAAACAGTAAGAAAGAAGACATAAGCTTGTATATTTGATGAATATTAGCTTCCCTGAATTTTAGTCAACTGTTTCAACAGCTTAAAAAATATCAAGTATATTACAGGAAAAAACGTAATACACATTGTCTTTTTACTTCAAAAAACAAAGGTCTTGGGGAATAAAAACTGTATGAGAACTGAAATGGAGCTTGTTTACTTTAAATGTGCTGCAGAAATTCTTAAGGAGATCCTAGCATTAAACTTGGAAAGATTAAAAAAAACTATGACAAAAAGATAAAACCCAAGTAGGGGCCTCAAGAGGAATGCTTCATTAGAGACACACCAACTATGTTGACTTAGGTCTATCTCAAAAGGAGTTTATTTTGGCAGCTGTGAGAAGACAAAAAAAAGGAGCGTTTCAATCACGTGGATCCCGTATCTTTCTCTTGAAGAGTTGCCATAAGCTGACAATATTTTTTTAGTTCATTAAATTAAGTGTATGAAATTAAGCATTAAAGTTTATTTTCTTATATTTAACATAAAGTGAAATAATCCCAGTTAAAATATGCACAGCCTAATGTATCATACTCATGCTTTATACTTACGTACACAAAATTGTCACACTGATATCAAATAACTTTAAACATTCATTAATACCTCACTAGCTGGAGTCATATCTAAAAGAGCAGCATTCATCTAAGCAGCTTACAGACATACTCCACAGGAAAGCTAAATTAATGCCCTGTCAGAGAGGCTTCTACTATATTGCTGTCAAAATGAAAACACTACAGACCATGTTTATTTAATAGAAAAAAAATATCCAAACACAAAATTAAATTGATAGAATTTAAATGAAAGTGAGCATGTTTTAAATATTTTTCTGTACAACTGTACAGGGAACCAGAAAATGAACATTCACCAGAACTAAACAACCAGCACAACAGGAATGGGTGTGCGAGCAGCGTGCATATTTTTATTTTGAAAAAACATTGACCATGATTAAAATGTACCAAAAAGTAAGCCAATGCAAATTAACTTTTTAATCCTTTGTGATGATTAAAAAGAAACAGGGGCTAAACCTGCTACCCTTACTCATATGAATCCAACTCAGATCTGCTTATTCCTCATCTTTTAAAGCAACAAAGACCCTGAATAATTCTAAAGGACAATGCAAGACAAAAGCAGGTATATTCTACAGCAAGATACAGTATTTGCTTTTCAAGTATTTACAAAGTCTCCAATCTACTCTCTTTATACATGCGTAACACATGCACTGCTCTTGCATCTTAACCCAACTGCAGATCCTTGGCTTCTGGATAAAACCGATGGGGCGCACAGAAACCTGTGTTTCCTCCTGTCCATGAAATTCTTTGTATTTTTAACCCTTTTGACCATTTTTTGCCTATATGTCTATCTCCAAATCAAACTCCCCATTACAGCTGCTGTGTGCTGTGTTACCTCCAAGACCTTGTGCCATTTTCCCCAGCAAGTGCCAGTGCTCATTAGTGTCCAAGTTTTCCCCATCCTTCCTAGTGTCTCTCCAACAACTATCCTCACTGAGTTTTCTCTGGAGCTTCAAAGCTTCTCTTCTCCCAGCTCCAAAACTCAACCCTCCATCCCACTCAACCACCCATGAGCCCCACCAAGCTGCTCAGAGCACAGGCTAGCACTTGCTACTCAGTGCTCCTTCTGCTCAGCCTTACAGGTCAGGTCTATCTCCACATTACCCATCACACCGCCGCTGGGAATACTACCTCTGAACAAGACATTCCCAAAGTCCTGCTTCTGCCTCTAATGGGGTTTCCAAAAACTCACCCAGAAACACATAGATCTTGCCAAAAATCTATCCAGACAAGACTCTGAGGGCAAGAAAATAAGAGCTACACAGGGAAGTCTGGGCTGATGGTAGCCTTACACTGAGTAAATAATTTCATACTTCACCTTAAGGCCCAGCTGTTGACTCAGTCTGTGGAGTATTTGAAGACATAATAAATACTAGCCTAACTGACAGCTTTTCAAATTGTGAAACACTGATATTCACAAGTTGAAATATATTCCTAATTAAGAATTCAGATGAGAGATGTTGGCTTTAGATTATGATATATTATGTGGGATTTTCAAAAGCATTTATGTTTATGCAACCAAATCATGCTGAAAAACAAGGTCACTTTAGAAATTGCCACTCCAGCTTTTTTCATTACTATTTGCTTTAATACATCCAAGAACAATAAATAATATTCTGAATCGGTAATTCAGAACAGTATAAGATTTTTAATGTTAAGGCTTCCTACCGATATATGGTATACTTGACACGTTTTTTCAAGTTCGACAATAAAAAAATGTAGTAAAAGCCAAATAATTTACCTTTAGTCATTCAACATTAAAATATACACAATTCAGTATTGAAGAAACAACTTCAACAACGGCAGTACACATATGCAAACAGGCCTTAACAGTAATCTTGGGATAGTAGAAAACAGTAAAGTTGTAGAACAAAGTGGAGAAAACAGCACAGGAAAGCTTATTAGTAAAAACTTAATTTCTGCGGGATCTTGACTAAATAATATTGTGGAATTCAAGTTAACACATCCTTAACACACACAAAAAGGTGTTATTCAGACTAGAAATCTGAAGGAGAAAATAAGGCAATGATAAATCTCCGTGTTTAAGCGTATATAATTAATATTTTCAGAATAGAGTAACACACCTCTGCCAAAAAATCTAAACCTACTTGTCTCCCCTACATTTGCAGATTAAAAAATGAATAAATAATAAAAAGGCTTGCTTTACCACAGTATTCCAACTTAAACCTTAACAGTAAGTAAAGCAACGGCTATCTGTACACAGTATCAACAAGTATCTGTACAAAAATTCTGGACCATCAGAAGAAGTGTACTTTAAAAGAACTTTCTTCTGTTGTCCCTAAAAATGTTTATTTTCATAGTAAATTTTCATTCATGAAATAAGCATTCTAATTCTGGGTCCATCCTGTTTGCCAAGCATTTGTTACACAAGCTTGCTTTGTTTGCTGGAAAAGAGAATTTGTAAACAAAGCCTCTCTGTGCTCTCCAAGGAGTCCGTTCTCAGCAGGAGACCCTCCTACTTCACCTTGGGACCATCTCAGCACGTGGAGCTCACAAATAGATCCGAACTGAAGCCATTATTCACCTCACTGCAACGGTCTCAAAATGAGACAAAAATCTGTACTGCAAAAAAAGTGTTAAATTTTGCCACCATAGCAGAGATGGCATGTGGTCTCCAAAACTGGAAATGTGTAAAGCAGCCAGGCATCACGTCTCCCCTACAGCACATGCAAACACCTACTTCCATGAAGAACCAAGAACCCCAGCGCTGCAGAAAGCATAATCTGAACTGCCACCACAACACATACCAGCTTCCCTTTTCCTCCTCAGCCTTAAGACTTGAAACTGAAAAACAGGCAGTAGCTATATTAGTTGCCAGAAGAAATACTAAACTGGGAGAGCACCTGAGTTTCTGGGCTTCAATGTGTTTGAGTCCCTCTGGGGCCATGCTAAATATCAGAAAGTGGGGAAAGAATCCAAATATAGGAACATCAAACAAATGTAGGAATAAGAAATAGAAAATATGGCTAGCGAGAGGGGTGTATTAAATTTTTGTTAGGCTATTTTGCCTGTAAATACCACAGCCTGATGACATGACATAGTAAAAATAATTGTATCCTTTCAGCATGCCCTTTTTGACACTGATTGTTTTCAAACTCCTCCTCATGGTAATGAATTCTGTCTCCTTAATTATAAACAAAGTATTAAACTTATAATACTGGAATTCTTATCAAGTCAGTCCATTTTTATTATAGAAAACTGAAAAAAAAATGAAATTGCAGTAGCAAATTCTGCAGCGGTAATTCCACATGCAGCTTTTGCACCTATGAGCAATGTAAATAGACACGTGCATGCTTGTGGCTCTAAACTGCCCAACACTGTTCTCGTAGTTGCCAAGAACAGATTCACTATTATGCTTTAATCTGAATTGCTACCATTAAAAGGTAGACAAATATCTACCTGCATGTTTAGCAAAATGTACAGTTGAACATTATGTATCCCCAAAGTCTTTGAGCCGAAACATCAATGCTTCTGTTTTCTTTTAATGCCGGATGTTTGGAAACTGTTTTTTTTATAATCACCTTTGCAGAAGAAAGAAGTTTGAAGGCAAATAGGCTGAAATCAGTAACTATACCATATGCTACATTAAGTCCTGATCATACCAAAACCTATTAATTCAAGGGTATATTAAACATACATTCAAATATAGGATTAGGGGGGTATTAAAATTAGAACTGCACTTTGTTGATATTCTAACAGTTCATAATCCTCGCTTTTCAGAGTTAAAATAATTAAAATTGCCCAGGCAATCACCTTGCTTTATTTTAAAATCAATAAATCTCCACACTGCATTCATGTGCATGTATATCTTGGAACATGAAAGCAGTTCATGCACTTCCATGCATTTTTAACACATTTCTAAGACAGAGAGCAAAGTGTAATAAATACTCGTATGCTTAGCATCATATGCCAAATACATGTTCACACAATAGTTTAAATCCAGATCTACACATCTATAGGACAGCGGCCAAAAACGTTTCTGAACTTCTCTGCCTCCTGTTCAGCCTTGGTGGCACCTGAGGCTGTTTCGGTGTACAGCGGCATGCGGCGGGTGCTGGGAGGCCGTTGTGCTGACGATGCTTGGCAGAAGCGTGACACGTTCCAACGCCACCACCACCCCGGCAGAAGGTCTCCAGCTGCCCCTTTTGGGAAGTTTTCTGTTGGTGTTGCACTGTCCAAGTAACCTAATGCAGCCAGGAGCCAAGGATTTGGCTGTAAACCCTGAAAGAGTTCATAAATCTCCGGCAAGGAACAATATCTGCAGTCTTAAGAGACTCTCAGGAAAAGGTTTACACTCATTCTTTGTTGTTGCTTTAAAGACACGCAACCATCACAGAGGAAAGAGGATTAAAGAAAGCCCATCTTATGTGGAATTTAGCTTGTAGCATACTAGAGATTTTAGATACTTTTGTGGCAGTTTGCAACTTTTCCAACTTAATGGGTATTGGCTTGAGGAATATTAGCATCTCTTCTCTTGGATCATCATGCTAACTTCTTCCCACATCACAAGTAGAGGTAAATGTACTATCACTTAAAACTTCATCAGAAGGTGGGGCTGCTAGTTCAGGCATTTGAGGACTAACAATTCAGTCATCAATGCAATCAAGACAACATTTAACGTACAGAGTTTCTTTACCATGCCCTACCAATAGAGAATCATTTTACAACATCAGCAACAAACAGCAAAACAGATACAGTTCTGAGAAAAACCAATTTATCTTCTAAAATAAAGCTTCAGTCAGGGCTTACAAACGGAGCTCTATTAGAAGCACACAATGATTTTTGAGAAACACATAAAATACCATCTTGCAATAATTTAGGCTGCACAGGTGCTGTTCTTTGAATCCTTTCTCGATGCCACACCTAATTTAGCAGAAATTGTGGTGGAGCAGCCCCAAAGCTTCCCCCTATGGACACCTTCCCATCTGACCTCCCTGCGCAGCATCCTCACATTGCCCAAACTGGGAAGCAGGAGCAGAACTTGGGACTGGCTCTCTGACTCTCAGCCAGCACTACACCTTTTAACTCGGTGTCCTTCACTGCCGCTGTATAGCGAGTCCCCCCAAAATATGCTGTAATATCTCTCTGCTTTCCTCTCCTTTCCCCTGAGTGGAAGATAATTAAAAACAAATAATAGCAAGCCACATTATGCCAACTGGTAAAGACTAAAATGGAAAGAAAGTTAAAAAAAATTTGTAAAATAAATCATGGGTCAACTTTACTGACCATATTAGCATTAAGTAGCCCTTCAGAACACTTGCCTCAGTATCTTAAATAAATAAATAAAATCTGTGGAACAAAAAGTTCATCTGTCTTCTGTCCATTGATAAAACAACAGCTCACTTGTGTTGACACGAACAGAGAAACTGGTTCCTGTGTACTTTTGCTCTACAAACCCATTCTTCTTCAATTAGTTGACAACGGGGTCATTTTCATATCCTTTTTTTGGTTATTCTAGCTCAGTGTTATTTGTGAAAACATTTTTATTCCGAACAAGAAAGGGGAAGGAAGCAAACAGTATAACATTCTATTAGAAAAGATGCTCCACTACCCTGAAACCTTCCTAGTAAGAATCCCCAAATGGTCCTGCACATCTAACACAGCACATAACTACTCTTAACAGTTTCAGTTGTTCCTTTTAGAACAGTTCAGTTACTCAGTTGAAAACAACTAAACAAAATAAAGTTTTCAGCAGTAGTTAACTCTCTCATATGATAAGCAGAAACCTCAGGGCAGCGTCTGGAAACAGCAAGGGGGTTTTGGGGTTTGTTTTCTTTCGTTTCACGCTCAAAAGACAACAGTTTGCCAAGCTCCAGGTCTCGCTAGGTCTCCCCAGTAAGGTAACCTTTGAAAGCCTTTGTGAACTCATTTTATTAGACTAAGAAAAAGCTGTAAAGAAGCTGTAACAAAACTATTTCACTTCTCCGCGGACCCTTCTGCTCAGGGCCCAGCTCTGTGCAATCTCGCAGAGCTCCAGTGCCCTCATGATCGTATTCGTGAAATCACAGCACCACCCCAGAGCCTGCCAGGCTCCACAAACTTCCACTGCTGCCTCTGACACGAGGTAGAGAGAGTACAGATTTGGTTTTACAGCACTTGCACCTGAATAACGTTGGTGGCTACCACGGGATAACACGAAGTAACCTCCTCTCCTACTAGTGATATGTTGGTGGTGGGAAAACGCTGTTAGTTACCATCGTCTGCTGGCCAGTACTAACGCATCTTTGCTCTGGGTTTTGCTTATTCTTGACTGTTACTTTTTTTGACCTGCCACTTCCAGCATTTACTATAATACTAAAAATAGTAATTTACTATAATATGGAAGATAAAGGCCATCGAGAAGATCCCCATAGGCACTGTAAGGAACAACCATAAACCCCTCTGTTTTTTCACCTCATTTAATGCAATATGCACTCCTGCAAGAAAGAAAAATACAACTTTTAACAGAGACTTAGCTAAACCAGAACAAACAGCAGACAGATTCAAGAGCATATACACGTGCGTTCATAGTCACTTAGTCACAAGCACTGACACTAAAAATAACTCAGCCCAAGTCCCAATTTAGCCCATTCTGAAAACTCCATAGTTGCACAATTCCCATTTTTTTCTCCTTTCCACCCTTTCTCCTTGCTTCCAGAGCCTACTATCTTCTTTAGTACAATGAAGGCAATAATTCATGTTATATAAACAAACGGTAGAAGCTGACCTCAGCACCTGAAGGGCCTAATTTTAGACAGACTGCCTAATTTTACACAACATTCTCCAAGACAGAAATGCATCCGTTGATGAAAATCCACTGACTGCATAAAGAATGGCAAGAAGCTTACAAAACGTTAGAAGGAGCAAACATTAGAAGAACCAAGGCATTTTTTGGTGGGTCATTGGTTGGGGAGGTTGGGTTTTTTTTTCTTTTTTAGGTAAAAATAAAAGAAGTCCAAGAAAAAACGTGACAGCAGCGGGGGTTTTTTTCTTTTTTAGGCAAAAATAAAAGAAGTCCAAGAAAAAACGTGACAGCAGTCATCAGGTTTAGAAAGAAGGGTGTTGCAAATAAAAGGAAACAATGGTGGGGGGGGTATGTGCATGGTAGGTAGGACAAAATGTACTATTTTTAGGAAGAAATATTCAGGTCAGACATGAAGAAAAAAATTCAACGGGAAGACTAATAAAGCACAAGAATATATAGGGATATAACCATCAACACGAAGAGACATATATCAATTTACTGAGGGAGACTTTCGGCACACGTATGTCCAATGGGTCTTAGAAGTTAACACAAATACAGCCAACGCTGCCTTGGAGTAAGGGGATGGGCTACACCATGGCCCTTGACGAGTCTACTTTTCTGTGATTGCGCTATTCCCTCCCAGCTCCAAATCATTCCCCTCTCTAGGAGTCTGGGAGTCTCATTCCAAACACTGACGTTGAACTTTTTGCAAACTAGACTGTTAGAAGCATTGTGTTTAATATCAAGATCAAGGATAAATAATAGAACCTTATTAATATACTTCTACCTGGAGACTCAGTACCGTCACCAGCTAAACAAACTCAGACAAAGAAAAATAATAATTCAAAATAATGAATTGACATCTAGATTAAACATAACACTTCTCTGAAGTGCACTGTGATAATTCTGTAAAATTAATGAGGTCTTGGTAAAACCAGACCTCATTAAAGTATCTACCATTAAATTTTTCCTGGAAAATTGGAGAAAAAAACATCTCTTGTGTAGATTAACTGACTTGTCAGCCAGCTCCTACTGTAAAGACCACAAGGTGAAATACGGCAGAGCCAGGAACATAGGAGTTCCTGGCTTTCAGACCAAATAAATTCCACTTCACAACACTGCTAATTAGAGCTAATATAATCAGCAAAATAGCAAAAACAAGAAAGAATACGATAAGAGCAATCAGTTTTGAAGTTAAATGAGAGAACCAGTACTCAAGTGTTGCCAGATTCAGTAAATGTGGTGCATAGATAAAACTAACCAGTGTTTTGATGACTTACACTTCAGTGACAAATTTAAAGGGCTCATTTCTCTCCAGACACAAGAACTTTGATACTTTGCCCAACACTTGAAAACTGGCATAGCTATGCCATAACTTCACACAGACACTATGTTAGGAAAAGTGAAGGGCATTATCTTCATAACTATGTTTTAATCTTTTGCATCATGGCATTGCATCTCTGCCTATTCAAATCCACTCACTTTTGGAAATATCCACAGAGAGACAGACAGACAAAATTGAGAAGTAAAAAATGTTAACTAGTGTTTTGATCAAAAAAATGATTAAATCAACAAAAAAAATGAAGTGAAGCTGACAAAACAGCACTATATCAATTCATTTGCTTTTAGAAACTTTAAAAATACACTCAATTCCATGCATTCTTACACTTACTCGCAAGGACTGATAGCTTAATAAAACCATAATTGGAAAATTCTGAAACGTGAGTTGTGACCTCATTCCTCAGATGAAGGAGAAAAATTAAAGACACGTGAACTGTGAAGTGTATTATTCCCTCTCAAACCTCCCCCCCAAACAAACAAAACCCTCAATTCTTTTGTCTACATATTTCAGTTTACAGTTCTCACTTTAATTGCTAATGCTTGCTGTGGAGCCCCCAAATAAGCCTTCAAATAAGATTTAGTACAAGTCAGCAATAAGCAGAGAATTTATGACTATGCAGAGTCATGAATTAGCCATGATAAATTTCCACCAGCCATTATCATTCACAAGATGGTTTGCCTCAGCTTTATTAACATCATTCTGAATAAATCTTTCCAGCAGCTCCTTTTGACAGAGACAGGCACATTACCTCTAATAACTCTGAAAACATCCACCGATACAGAATCAGCCTGATCCAAGCTTCATAAAGAAGATAACAAATGGATAGCTTTAAGAGTGCCTACTCCTATTTGATAACATTCGTTTCTCTAGTATAGAGAAGTAAAGCACTAAAAAAATAGTTTAGTCAATTTGAAGAACTTTGTTTTGTAATCAGAGACTCATCAAATAAAAAGTTACAGGTATGCAGCTGAAATTGTAGAAAGGCCATGTCTTACAAATACAGCTTCAGTCTGAAAATGACTTTCAGATACAATTCCTTCTAGGCTTGTACAACTTATACCCCAAAATTTCTGCTTCTGGACACATGCTTATTTTCTCAAGGGGCAGTACAGTAATGAGAAAGAGACTTGTTCACTGCAGACATCAGCTGAGACC